AGAACCAATATCAGTCCCTAATTTAGATGATCCAAAAGAAAAAAAAATTAAGGCCCAAAGAGAAAGGAGCCTGTAGAAGCCTCAAAAGTTGAATAAAAGATAAACTTGTTAGAGGAAAGGCTACAAGCAGTGGAGGAAGTTGGTTTGTATGGCTCAGTTGATGCTACTGGATTCTGTTTAATCTCAGATGTGGTTATTTCTCCAAAATTTAAGGTGCTAGAGTTTAAGAAGTATAATGATACAAAATGTTGGAAAACTCACATTATCATGTACTATCGAAAAATGGCTACTCATGCTAATAATGAAAAGCTATTAATGCATGTGTTCCAAGACAGCCTAACAAGTTTTCCTGTAAGGTGGTATGTCCAATTGGATAGGATCCGTATTCGTTCTTGGAGCGATATGACTCATGCTTTTATTAGTCAATACCAACATATAATAAACTTGGCCCCTGATCGTCTTTCTTTATAGAATATGAAGAAAAAAGTAATTGAATCATTCAAAAAATATGTCCAACAATAGAGGGATATTACTTCTTAAGTACAACCTCATTCGACTGAAAAAGAAACCATCGTATTATTTGTCAACACTTTGAAATATCTCTATTATGAAAAGATGATAGGGAATGCCACAAAAAATTTCGTTGACATGGTGATCTCAGGCGAAATCATTGAGAATGCCATTAAAAAATGGTAAGCTGAAATGAGGAGAAACCAAGAAAGCACCCGAGAAGAAAGAGACTGAAGTTTAAGATGTGAGTTTTGATAGACAGTTCAGAGGATATCAAACCTATCCATCCTAAGGTTACTCTCCATACTATCCTGCTATGAATAATGGTTCATCTTATCTATACCAATCAGCCCCACAACCACCTAATTCATCCACATATTAGCCCATTTTTATCCCTCAAGCCCTCACATATAGTTTTAACATTCAAACTCCTATAAGACCTCAAATTCATCCTGTTAGCCTGGCAAGTGGTTCACAAGAGCAATAGACTATTCGAAAAAAGCTCGTATTTGATCTAATCCTCATGACTTCTACGAAGTTATACCGAGAGCTTTATAATAGCCATTTGATTACCCCCAAGCCATGTGGAGTCGCTCAAGTCACCTTATCCTAAGTGATATGATCTTACAGCTCACTGTGACTACCACTACAGAATTGCTGGTTATTTCACTAAAAATTACACTACTCTAAAGCATAAGGTGCAATAGTTAATCAAGGATGAAATGGTAAGTTTTGATCAAGAAAAAGTAACAACACCTAATGTTAGTGGTAATCTATTACCTAATCACAATGTCAATGCCCTGAATGAGAATCAATAATATGTTAATTAAAAAAGGCCTGAAGAGTCACAATGAATTAAAGGGGCGAGATAAAAATCCTTCACTTGATTGCACAGAGGCATGATTTTAAAGAAGGATGTTAAAACTGGTTGAATGCTACTTATCATTCTAAGAGTTCTTTTAAAGTAATGTTAGGATTTTTTTCTTGCAATATGATTTCACTTGTTATCATTTTAGTAAAGGTAAGTTAATGCATTTTCGTTACATTTTTATTTCACTCGACCATTATTCCATGCTCTGTTACCTTTCATAACTTTACATTCCCATTTTCAAATTTTAGATGATGAATATTTAGACAATGATAAAAATAATTCTGGGATTTAATTTTAAGAACTCATCCACATTAATATGAGAAGATGATTTGAGCAAAAAAGTAAGCTGTTACTAGAGGTGAAATAGATATGTCTTGAAGATATGTAATTTTTTATACAGGTTCATAAGCTTTGTTCAATAGATGATGTTCAAGAAAAGTATTCACAATTAAGATGAAAAATGGTCATCTTTTTTTTACCATTTGAAAAACCATTTATTGCAACCCCTTTGAGCCTATTATGATTTTTTTCTCTGAAGAACCCTAACCAAGGATCACCCTCTACACTGGGGGGTAATTTTTGAAAAAAATATCACAAAAAGTCTCAAAAATGGAAAGAGAAAGAAAAGCAAAAGAAAAAATAAATGCCACACATGATTTGGGGTAAAATAATGAGAATCACTTATGTGAGGAAAAAAAATAGTGAAATGATGTGGGGGCAAAATGCCATCAAATGATCCTTTGGTCTTGAACCTTTTTAATATATGTTTTGAGCCTATTATATCTATTTCTTTTATGACCCCTCACCTTGACCTACATTACAATCTTGAAAAGTCTATTTGGATCAAGTGTGAATGCTCAACTTGAATGATCATATGTTGGGCAAAGCCATGCTCATGATGAAATAATGGAATCATGCTATATTGCTCTAAAGTTTGATGTGTAGAAAGATATCAACAATGGATGAAAAAATGAAAAAAAGAAAAGAAGATGATGAAAAAATAAAAAATGAAACAAATAAAGAAAAAAAATGAAAAAATGAAAAAACTATTCAAATTGAAAACCTAAAAAGGTGATTTGGGTAGAAAAAGGTCTAGGTCAAATGGTTCACATGGATGGAAAATCAAAGACATCTAAAAATCCCTCAAAAACTGGGGTAAAGTTCGTCAAGCTCAAAATGACTTCAACAGTAAATGGAATGAGTTTTTGAAAAAGAATCCTAGATTAATATTGAGAATTGTCTGAATATTCATCGTTTGGACATACCATTCATCCCAATGACATGTATCCAATTTATTTCATTTCTCATTTGTTTTGTACTCAAATAGATCTTCATTGATTATCTTTACCATAATTCACCTTGTGTTCTTTTATTGTTACATCCTTAGAATAAATCAAGAAAATGTATGAGTGCATTATAATTGTCAAGAATTGAAATGATGATGAATGAATGAAAATGTGCATAAAAAAATCTTGCATTCCTTTAAAGAGAAATCTAAGATGATGGTGATAACAAAATGAAAAAATGGTAGAAACCTAAAAGAGATAATTTGAAAGGACATATGATGTGACCAAATAGAGAATATGATGATGGATTGGACAATAAAATGAAAATGGGGAAAATCTTGAAAAGTGGTATAATCAAGTGATGAATATGGGGATGTATTGATTGATATAACCTATGAGTTATGGTTAAGTGATGAAAATGATATGGAGCAATAGATGAAACTGGTGCTGATAAGCTTATGAATGATGACTAAGTGACAGATGATGAAATTTGTTTTGAAATGGCTAGTATTGAGAAGCTTATGAACGATGACTAAGTGATAAAACATAAAATTTATTTTGAAATGATTAGTGCTGATAAGCCTGGCATGTAAGGTAATAGGTAAAATTTGTTGGCGCTAAGAAACCTCTTGATGGTGATCAAGTAATGGAAACAATGATGATCAATTAATAAAGCTTGTTTCAAAATGTTGAGAAGCTAAATAAAGGGAAAATGTGAGATGGTAGGGTCTTGAGGATCATATTCCATAATTATTTAAGATTTCATGACATTATTGACCTTCGCATTACATGCAACATGTTGGCATCATTGCTTGAATAGTACATGCACACAATTTGATGAATTAAACTTTGTTTGGACATGCATGGCATTATGAGAATATAGGTTACCACATTTGCATCATTAAGAAGGCATTTACATCTTTGGTCATAACATTCATTCAAGCAAATTTTTGAGTCACTTGAAAAAAAAATCGTGAATATTTTGATGAGAATTTTTGAGAACTCAAATGAGAATCTTTGAGGAGTAAAACCCTAAAGTTCATCAAATGTGAATCTTCGAACTAGAATGAAAAGTTTTAAACTTTTGGATGTGAATCTCCAAAATACAAAGCTTCAATTTTTTGGATATGAATCTCTAAATTTTTAAATGAGAACATTTGAACTTAGATGTGAAACTCTAAGTTTTATTACTGAACCTTTGAACTCAAATGAGAAGCTTTGAATTTTTTGATGTGAATCCCAAGCTTGCCAAATGCAAACCTTTAAA